AATTAAAAATAGAGCACCCGAGGAATTATATAAAAGAAAAAAAAAATCTATTATAATATCCAAATAAAAAAAATAAACAGAATGTGCAGGAAAATCTTTAGATTTTCTTTTTTATAAGTTAACTCTTTGAGTCTTGTTGCGGGCTAGAGTATTAGTAAAAGGATTTTATGCCTTAGCGTTACACGTGTATATAATTCACAAATAGAGAAATTGAAAACACAAAGATTTTTATGTAAAAAATCCTGAAAAAAAATGAAAACTATAAGGGCATGCCCAGTTGATACGATACAACTAGTGTTTGAATAAATTACAAAGATCGTTTCTAAACTTGAGTAAGGGTAGATTACAGTAGTCTAGGAAGTGGCAGAAGTCCGACAATGGTAGATCGAAAGTCAAACAACAATTGAATAGAAGTCTGATGATAGTCGGTGGCCAGGAGGAAGTCCGACGTAGGTCTGTGGGTGGGCGGTGGTCGAAGAGGAGTCGGGTGGCAAGAGCGCTCTCATATTTGTTTTCTCTCTTCTCTTCTTTCTCTTGCTTGCTCTCCCCTTAGTGAAGAATGAGGGGTACAATTATAGTTTTATGGAGGTGACATGACCAATAAATAAGGAGAAGATAATGGGTGATACATCATCAAAAAATTATCTTAATCAGGCACGAATCTTGAAGCAAAATCAAGTTGAATGCTTTAAAAATTAAAATTGAGACCATCCAAACTCTGATTACTGCAAAATTATAGTCGAGCTGAACGTTTCAAAAATACAAACCCAACGACACAAAATTCGACTCATTCCAAATGGGTCCAAACCAAGGACCCAAAGCACTATTAGAAGGTTCAAACCACAATTTAGATTACTAAATGGTTTCCAAACATAACATGCTTATAGTAGAATCGAGCGGCTCGACGATACAAATCCAACGAGCCAAAGATCACTGAATTTCAATATCACTAAGACATTCAAATGCCCATAAAATGGTCCAAAATTATGGGGGGCCAAGAAAGAAGAAGGAAGAGAATGAACTCCACCCTCCTAGCTCCTCTTCGACCACCGCCGAAGTTCTTCCGCACCACCACCGGGTTCTGTCGTATCATCGCTAGAACACCAAGGGACTCCGGAGTTCTACCGCGCCATCGCCGAACCACCAAAGGACGCCAGCGTTCTGTCGAATCACCACCAGACCATCAAAGGACGTCGAAGTGCCACCCAAAATCGGAGTGCCCCTGACCCTGAAGTGCCGCTACTAGACCATTGCCTGGCACCGGAGTGCTGCTGGACCACCACATGACGTTGGAGTGACACTGGATTTTTGCAAAACTTTCAGTTGACATTTATAATCTAGTCGTCTTTAGGACAAGTCAGGCCAATGTACTTTTTCCCAAATTCTAGTGGAATCATTTCAACTCGGCTAGGCCCCGTAGTTTTTCCATTTTCCCGGCTTTTCCACGTAAAAAATAGTGTTCTCTATGTGTGAGTTGAATATCCATGTAATGCTAAGACGTGGAATTATAACTCTATCGCCGTGTATATTCTAACCCGCAACAAAGGACATGTTTGGAATGCTTAGAATGGACGGCCGATATCGACTCCCTTGATCAAGTATTTAAATGTTTTAATGATGCCAGCATTCTAAGATCTTGGGCTCGTTGGGTTTATCTCGTCGAGCTACTCAATTAGACTATAAGAATTTCATATTTAGATAATATTTAGTCATCCAATTTATGCTTTGAACCTTCTAAACGTATTTCAGGCCCTCAATTTGGATCCATTTGGGCTCATATAGGATCAAATTTGGTATTGTTGGGTTCGTATTTTCAAGACATTAAGTTCGATTATAATTTACTGAAATTGGAGTTCGGATGACCTCAAATTTAATTTTGAAAATTTTCAATTTGAATTTGTCTGGAGATTCATGCTCAAACAATATAATTTTTTTTTATGATATATCAAGTCTAAATAGGAATCTGATTGAAATACGAGCAAACCGTTGGAGCTACTGATTTTTGATAAACTAATTTTTTTCATTTTCTTTTCTCTCATATTGGGCTATCAATTTTTCCAATTTAGGTTACCTTTATAAGTTGATCTATTTTGACTAGTTTGAGACTGTCCTTTTTATTAAATTAAAATAAAACATTTTCCATTTTTTTCCTCATATGTATAGTATTGTCAATTTTATTAAGTGTGATACCTTAAAAATCAAATCTATTTTGCTCTTTGATCGATTAGTATATTTTTTTTTATTCATTTTATTTTGTCCCTCTTAGAAATTTCTCATTTTGAATGTATTAAAAATAGCTCTTTTTTGATATAAAATAAAAAATTCTAATTAATTGAGCCAATTTTTTTTTTTTTTTTTTAATTAATTGAGCCAATGTAGTTCTAGATAGGGTAGAAAAGTGCATACATGATTTATTAAAATATTTACACTCATATTCATATAATTATACAATGTCCCATCATTTTTGGAAAAAAAATTAAAGTATTTGTTATTTTAAAATTAATTAAGAAAAAATAATAATAAATTTTAAAAATAGGTGTAGTCGCCCGTGCGACTGGGCGCTAAACTTGTCATGGAATCAGCACCTGAGTCACGAGCTTGCGTTGTTGTTTTTATTTAAGATTAGCTCTTGAATATGAATTTTTTGACGTAATTTGCATTATATATGATGAGCTTAAATATTTTTAAATTTACATTAAGATTAGTGTAATTCATATAAATTTAAAAATTAATCCAATATTTAAGCCCATCTTAACATATTTTACATCTGAATATTTTCATGTAATTTTTTATTCCAACTAATATCAATGATAAACATATTTTAAGAAAAAAAATCCACAAGCATGAATAAAGGAATAATGGTTTGTGAAAACAATTTTGTTATGCTCGGAATGCGAGTCTATTTATTTTGATATATGATGAGATCGGAAAAATTTCCTGTGATAATTAATATATTAAGCACAAGTTGCATGCGAAAAAATTATATTATTATTTTTATTAGAATTATAAAATAAAGAGATGGCTGATTATATATATATATATATATCTTAAAATAACTATATTATTTTTTAGAATTAATTATTTTCTTTATTTATGATTTATCATATTTTTCTAATTATGATAAATAACTAATAAAGAAAATATTAATTATAATAAAAATTAATGTATTTTTTAGGGTAAAAATATGATCTTATTTATATAAAATAAAAATAGATGTTGATATGATTCTTAAATAAATTTCATTAGAAATATTAAAAGAACATTTAAATCTTACAAACTCCCAATTTTACATAAATAGTCTAAATGAGTCTTATTGAGGCAATTGAAAAAAGCACAAGTTCGTGGGAGTCGAACTTGACATGGGGTCAAAAACATCTGAATAAAAAAAGGCATTGAAAACTCCTTGCGGCGCATACCAATTACAGTGGTCCTGTAGCGATTTTGGAACGACTACAAGATTTTTAGTAGCGGTTAAAACCCACGGGACAGCCTTCAAAAGCGATGCGAAAGCCATTTTTTATGATAGAGTAGCTCTATATCAACAACATCAATACTAGCATTCACTTGTTATACGACATTAGCAATTAACCAACATTAAAGCACAAGGTTGCCTAACCTAATTTTGGTTGTCAACTAACATTGAAATTCACTGAAATCCAGCGTACAATATCCGCCAAAATTAGACTCATGATGTCCATCAAGATCCAACTCATGTTGCTTATTGACGTCAAATTATTAATACTCTTTGTTACCTCTCACTACCTCTTATTGGTCTAAAGCATCAAATGTTGACCAACTAGAGCCACCCAATATCATTCGTTACACATTCATTGACACAACATCCGCCAATTGGCGTTGCCCGACTTTCCTGCCATTTTCCCCAACATCTTTTGCAGAGATTGCCATCTCCTACAACTAACTAAGAAGACAATCTCAACCCCAATTTTATTTTCATGAATTCCCTAACTCCCCACATCTTTTTCCTAATCACCCTTACATCTAACAAGCTCAATTTCGAATGTTGACAAAGTGTCAATTTTAAAGAAAAAGAATAAGATTTCGTTTGAGACGACTTTTTAATTGCTTCTTGAAGCGACTTTTTAGTATAAAATTTTTAATTTTTTTACTAAAAAATTATTTTAAGAAGCAGAAAAAAAGCCGTCCCAAACAAGCCTAAGTGTACTTTGCCTAATAAAAATGAGACAAATTTAGAGAGATAAGTCTCACCCTTCGCCCCCTACTTGATTCCATCGTCGATGAAGAATACATATAAACAAATAAATATATTTATCGATCGAGGAAGGCTTTAGCACTTGACTTCTTCTGGATAATTCAGACACTGAGGTTAGGTAGCATTCTCATTTAAGCATGAATTTAAATAAGAGAGCACTGACTACTTGAAATAATTAAAAAAAGAGACCGGGTCTTATAGCATTTCTTATTTTTATGAACCAAAATAACTTAATTAGTTATTTCATCCAATTATTTTAGTCATTCTTAAAATGAACTCTTTGTACTATTTATCAAGCTCAACCATACAATACACCATAGAAGTCACCCATCTTAATGTCACTTAGATCATCTCCAACTGAACTGCATATCATTGTATGCTGTCCGCAAATCACTGCATTCGACTCCAAATATCGCGCCAAAAATCAGGTGGAGAATGGGACGTCAATATTGACGTCGGATTGTTCACCTACGCAAAAAAAAAAACGATGCGAAACAGGACAGATGGTTACCTTCACAAAGAAGCGCACGAAAAAAAAAAGGAATTTCATTGGAGATGAACTATCACATTTTGAAATTTTACGATATTTTAGAGTGGAAAATGGGTTTTCGGTTGGACATGGCCTTATGCTCAAACATACTTGACTGCGGAGTTTTGAGATCAAGTGTACTGATGCTAATACTAAATTATAATAATTTTGAGACACAAACTAACACAAATTATTAAAATTTGAAGATGATAGATTGACTTAAAACTTTTCAAATACAACATACAAGCTTAGATGGAAAAGTTTTGGTCAAAATCAATTGACAAGGTTATGACCCTCCAACTTAAAATCTGGTCAAAATATTCTGAGCTTATAATACACAAATGGATAGTCCTCCAATCACTTGGCAATGCTTGTTGTTCCTCCAGCAGATATTACCCTTTCAATTTGAATCATTCAGGATCATAAGCTGTAAACATGCTTAGAGAACAAACCAATCTGATAATAATGCTTCCTGCAGATTGAGAACTTCTTATCATCCCCCTTAGTTGTCCAAATATTATTTGTGGCTAATTCTGGCTTCATAGCTCTTTTGCACTGATGCAATATTGTTCTGTACAAGCTATTTCATCCTTTGATTAGAAAAATTGGCTGAGATGAAAATTACAGAAGGTTAATTGGACAGGAAAGGAATCACTCAGATACTATACGTGAATGCCAAATTCTAACTTCCATTACTGGTTTAGAGAGAAAATTTGATATATTCTTAACTATCCTACCTAAATTTTATTAGATTGTAAAATTTATCATATAATATATTTATTTCGAAATAAATTTGATAAATATAAAGGAAATTTCCATTGAATTTCAATCAAGATATCCTAATTCAATTTTTTTTTCTCAAAATTTTTTTATGCCAGGAAGGAATTACACAGAGATTTATAAGGGAAAAAAAATACTTGCAATAGAAACTGTATTCCTTACTTCCACAGTAATCTATGTACTTACTCCTACCAAATTTCACTCCGACCGCCGGTCCAACACCCCATACGAACTAGCCGCCCGAACCCTCGATCTTGGAACGACGATCGTCGCATCAGATACTGAACACGAGGTTTTGCAGTTGAAGGAGGCGAAAAGGTCGAGGAAACCAACTCGATCGGGCATTATTGTACGGCGACAGATCCCTAACATCTTACCTACTGTTCCCACAGATTCATCAGATCGCCGCCACCACATCGCATCAACACCGGGGGCATCCTTAGCGCACTCGACGAGTGCAGCAGTAAATGGATCAACGTCGGAGGCGGATCGCTTCTTCTGACTGATTCCGGAGACGGATCTAACAGGCGGAGGGAGAGGGAGGAGGGGATTGCGGTCGCCGGTGGCGGGGGTGGCGGTGGTGGAGGGGGATTTCGGAATGCCGGGCTGGCGTTCCCAGGAGAAGGGGATGGAGGAGTAGGGGAGGATGCGGTGGAAGGGGGAATGGGAGGAGGAGGTAGAGAAGGAGGAAGGGGAGCCGGAGAGGGAGGAGGCGGAGCTGGAGAACGAGGGTGTTCGAGAGGATGGCCGCCGGGGAGGTGGCTGTCGGCCGTCGGATGAGGCCGGAGGTGGTGGTGGGGTCTCGGTTGTATGATCGGTGAGAAGATACAGCTTTGGATTCGACTTGGAGTCCATGTTTTTCATGAAAGAAGGGCTAAAATTGAGCAATTGAAGAGGGAGGACGGAAGAGGAGGGTAGTCTTCTCTGCTGTAGTGGGAGAAGATATCCTTCTTATTGTAGTGGTTCTGTTGCAGGGGGGCATAAATATTCTGGCGTTTTGACATGGAGACCCTCAAAAATATAACATATTACATTTCTCTTCACGTAATTAAGAATAAAAATGCACATGAAAATGTCTCCGTTAGATGAAAACCTCGAGTCCGGCGAGGTTGAAAAAATGAGAAGTTAAAACCTAAAAGTTAAAACTTTGACTTTGAGGTTGTAAAAGTAATTTTTTAAAAGATTGATAAACTTCGGTTGTGGATCTATAAATGTCTTGACTTAAAGGTTGTAAAAGTAATTTTTTATTTCAACAAACTGTAAAATTATAGTGAAATTATTTATGATCCGCATCTGATTTAGAAAAAAAAAAATTAGTTTTGATAAATCATTGAAGTTTTATTTGGGATGATTTTTTTACAGCTTTTTTAAACAAATTTTTAGTAGAAAATTTTTAATTTTTGCATTTAAAAATGGTTAGAAACAATAAAAAAGTCGTTATAAATAGGGGTGTCAATATTTGACACGACACAAAAACCTGACCCGGAAA